AGCAACTACAAAGCTCTACCAAGCTGGAAAACTTTTGAAACTTGCTTTCCCTCAAGGTCAACCCTGTTTTCTGGGCTCAGTGTTCAACATAGGAAACCTTTCCCAGAGCTACATCCTAGTCCTATTAGTTGAGAGAGTGAGTATGGGGGGAATGGAAGTCCAAAATGCTCCAACTGGTTTAAGAGTCTTAGCATATATAGTAGCAATATGCATATTTTAAAAATATTTCAGAAGTGATTTGGACCTCATGGAAACAGCACTTCTTAGCTCCTTCTAAAGCAGCCCAGTCTTTTGCAGCCTTATTCACTAGCTTGACAAAAATAAATTGTTGCTGCTGCTGGTTTACAGAATCCACTTCTTAAAATTAAGACAGGTGTTGTCTGGTGCAAATTTCAAAGCAATTTTCTTAGTTGTTTCCGAAGCATGCACAGCCCTAATATGAGCTGTGGTGACGCAGTGGTTAGAATGCAGTACTGCAGGCTACTTCTATTGACTGCCAGCTGCCAGCAGTTCGATCCTGACTGGCTCAAGGTTAACTCAGCCTTCCATCCTTCCGAGATGGGTAAAATGAGGACCCAAAATTGTTGGGGGCAATATGCTGACTCTGTAAACTGTTTAGAGAGGGCTGTAAAGCACTGTGAAGTGGTATATAAGTCTAAGTGCTATTGCTAAACCAGAATAAGATAGAATAATAAGATAGAAGTGAGCAATGTTGTAAGTTGCAATCCTTTAGTATGGGCTAAAGGATTAGTTGGGGGCATTATGCTGACTCTGTAAACTGCTTAGAGAGAGCTGGAAAGCCCTGTGAAGCGGTATATAAGTCTACGTGCTATTGCTAATGGTATACAACATCACTACTGGTGACTACTGTAGATGCCAAGCTACAAAATAATGAAACTTTTAACAAAAATAGTTATAAAATTGTGGCCCACTTAGGCCAAAGGCTTTTTTGGCCATGCCTTCTACTTTTTACATTCCAGCAACTGGAAACCTTTGCAAAGTGCAAGAACAGGCATGTGAATAACAATACAACCCTCCTTCGATTCTCCAGCACCTGAAAGCTACATAGGGAATTTGTTCATGCAGGAGAGGCATCCGGTTCTGCTTGGCAGCCGGTAAACAGAACGTGGCAGCTTTTACCCAGGGATGTAGGGATCCTGTGCAATGAGGCTCCCCTTGCTCACTATTTTGGCAATCAAAATCGACCCTTGCAAAACCAAATGGCATCCAGTATGAAAGGATAAAGTCCAGGGTGCTGGACCTGGAGGTTTTTTTTCGGGAGGGGGAAGGAGTGACTGATCTAGGTGAACTCCATGAACCTTCTACTGGATCATCCTGAATAGAAGTGGGTGGTCTGTATTAGGAACCATGAGACTACTTGAACATAATGCTTTTTGCTAGGCACCATTTGTAAATTTCCAGCTTTTGCCATTTCCGAAGCCTGGCATGGGAAGACCGTGAAACTGCTTAAAAAAAAAAAAGGATATTCTTGGAATTTGCTGTAAGGCAGGAAAAAAAAATGTAAGTGGATTTTAATTTTCCTTTTTCTTCTTCAGGTGACAGTGCCAGGCGAGGTAGTGGACGTAGCCTGTGGCGTTGATCACATGGTCATCCTGGTTAAATCTTTTATTTAGTAGCGTACCTGCGCACGAGTGCCTGTCCAGATGAGCGGGAAGCCGAATTGTAAAGCCTTTGCTGGGGCCCTGCGGTTGGCCTAATGGTGGAGAACTCACTGAAGCTAGGAAACGCTTTGTAAACCCGTTGGGAGAGATTGAGCACGCAGTAACTGTAGCCCAAGGAGCAGCTGAAGGAAATGCAGACTGCAGTCGGACATTTATTGCTAATGCCAGCCATCCTGAATTTTTTTTTAAAAAAAAGCACTCCTGTTTTCCTGGGTAGTGTAAGAATGTTACTGTTAAGGTCCAGAAACGGCACAAAAAATAATTAACAGTAAAAGGAAAATGTGCTACACTGCAGGGTGTTTCTAACAACTATAAATAGTACTTGCAGATCCTCAAGTTAAGTCTATTTTTTAAATGAACAGTCTTACAAGAATCTCATAAGATTTCAGTATAATCATATGAGATCTTGGGAGTCACTTTGGTGATCCATTAAGATTTATGCCATTGGTTAATAAAAGTTATATATCTAATGCCAAAAAGATTGCTGATTCAACAGTCTTTTATTTAAGGGTAAATACTGGGAGATGAACCCTGCTTCCAAATAGCTCTTTCATTATTGTTCCTTCCTGAAGACCATTCCTCTCTCTTTCTAAGACTATTTTCATGGAATTCTTTTCTGGCCTATCCCCACTGATGTCATTTCTGTCACCAGGCGGTTGTGTCCTTACTCTATCTCAGATATCAGTGCTTTTAAAATGTCCTGGCAAGAGAAATAATTGTCATTCTCTGGCTGAGACAATTCCAGGTTGGAATTAACTTGGAACACATGACGTTGGAAAACTTTGCAATGCTTTTATGTCTGTGGGCCACTGTATTTGTTGTGGCTACCTCCCCTGTGTGCCTGGTTTTGGATGCCCACCATTGGTACTCAAAATGTGAACAATGCAAATAGAGTAGATTATTTCAGGATCCAATCTGAGTCAGTCACTGGGACCAGAGCAGAGGTGGTATTCAGCAGGTTCTGACCAGGCCTGGAGATTGAGTAGTTTGGAGAACTGGCAAATCCCGCCTCTGACTGGAGATTTTACAGTATCCTTCCCCTGCCACGCCCACCAAGCAACACCCGGTAGTAAAAACATTTGTATCCCACCATTGGACCAGGGATTTAGTCTTCTGAGCTTTTGGACTTGGTGCTGGAGCCCATCTTCAGGGAATTTCTCTCTCACCAGAATGTGTGTATCAACTGCCACTTCACACTTTTGCTTGAAGAACCATTGTGACACAGTGGTTAGAATACAGTACTGTAGGCTGACTATGCCCAGAGCCAGGAGTTCAATCCTAATGCGGATCATGGTTGATTCAGCCTTCCATCCTTCTGAGGTCGATAAAATGAGGACCCAGATTGTTGGGGGCAACATGCTGACTCTGCAAACTGCTTAGAGCAGTGGCCCCCAACCTTTTTTGTGCCACGGCTCGGTACCGGCATCACAAAATGATCCGCGGCCCGGTACCGGCATCAGCACGCATGGCAAGGCGAGCCAAGTGACCAGCCAGCCAGCCGTCCCCCGCTTCTTCCCGCCACCTTCAACTCCTCCTTTGTACCTTTGTCGATGGGCTTCGGGACGGCTTCGGGACGGCCGCTCGGCTCGCCTTGCCTTGGGTGCTGAAAGAATCCTCGCGCCTTAGTTTTGTTCAAAGCCGCCCCCCCCCTTCGATGAAACTAAAGCGCGAGGATTCCTTCAGGACCCAAACGCCGCTTTCCAACTGGAAAAGCTCACCGGAAGCACTTTCTCATCAAAACAAGATGGCGGCGCCCAGCAAACCGGCGGCCTGGTAGAAAATGTTCCACAGACCGGTACCGGTCCGGGGCCCGGTGGTTGGGGACCCCTGGCTTAGAGGGCTGAAAAGCACTGTGAAGCTGTATATAAGTCTAAGTGCTATTTGCTATTGCTTTGTAGACATTCAGTACCAGCTGCTGTGAACTCAAGGGGGGCTAGATGGGAGGTGGGAAACTTCAGGGGAAACAAAAGCTTACTGTATCTCTCCAAGAGAAGCTTCAAGGTCAGATAGCTGGGAACGGAACACAACTGCACACCAAATCTAGTCCTGAACTGACCGTTCTGAAACCATCTTGTTTAAATTTGATTGGACCTAAGGGAGCTGGGATTGGAGGCAAATGTTACACTTGGAGACTTCTGATGCACACTTTTCAGTTCTGGTTTTGACTTAACTGCAATTCACTCGACTTCAAGTAAACTATATCTTCCTCACCCAAATGGAGTGAAGGATCATTCGTACTTAAGAGGTTTAAGCTGAGACAGGTCTGACAGTGTGTGTCTCATTCCGGTGAGAGAGAAGCTTCCTGAGGATCCCAAGACCCCTGAGCAGGAATCCAAAAGCTTGGAAGACTAAACTGGTGACCGACCCGGATTGGATCCTGCAACATGATCCTGGGACACACATATATTTTGCCTTCATTCATGAGTAGATTATTATTTGCCATCTGGTAGAAAGTAGAATGGGCATAAAGAGGGGAGAAAAGATTCAGAATGACACCAAAACTTAAATTTTTGCACCAAATATGTATTGGGAGGCCGCAGAAGGCTCTCTTAAGAGGTATACAATTGCAGCAACACAGAGGATAATTTTTCTAAGTATAAGTATTCAGAAATTATATTCTACATTTCCAAAACATCACAGCCTGGGCTCAGCCCTTTTAGTAATCTTCAATAGTTCAAGAAGGAATTATATTTAAAAAAATTAAAGTACCTTTTTTTCCTCCTTGTAACTGAACTGGATGTAAGATCAGCCAAGTGCTCTTAGGCGGGGCTGGGAATTTAAAGAGTCTTAATGTTCATCTTCTCTAGGGGGCTCCAGGTTGGCGAATGTTACCCTTAGGCAATCTGGGCCAATAACTCACCCATTATTATTATTATTATTTTTACAAAAGATGTACACTTTCCCAAGCTGGTGAAAAATGAACTAGATCATGCTGGTTGAGAATTAATGGTGCCCTGGTCCAGCACACCTGGAGAGCACCATTAGTGGATTAAGTAGAAACATACAGGTGCAAAATTCACTGCTCAGTTTTAAGCAGCCTTCACCCAAAGGAAATGCTGCAGGTAGGAAGAAATTCTATGTTAGGCTAGGCTATCTGGATAAGCAGTTCAGTCTCTTCTTCTCTGGCTGTAGTGGCTTTCAAGATTTCAAATAGGGAAGGATCATTTCGCTTGGACCGGCCCTGGAACTTTTTCAGTGTGCAAACTATTCATGCTGATCGATGTGCCAGTTAGCTCTGATCACCCAATGACATCTTGCAGTTAAAGGCCTCTCCATGAGAATACAAGAGGGAATACTATATGCCTTTTTTTTTTTTTTGGAATCCAGACGACTTCCTTTCCCTATAATCTGGAGGAAAGCAGAGAGGAGCAGAAGTCCCAAGATAGATTTCCTACACACATTCATGGGAGACTGGGATATACAGAACTAGGCAACTTTTTGGACCCTTTGGGAATTCGAGATCATGTGGTAGCTGCAATTATAAAATGGCCACTGGGGTATATGTGTGTGTTCATCCACAAAATGGCAGCCACAAATAACACAGGTAATCACAAATCATTCATCTGAGAGAAAGCCCATAAATGAGTCAGTTGGTGTGAGCTTTCCTGGTTGTCAGCTTGCCTTTTGACCTTTTTTTTTTAAAAAAAAGAAAGTCAAATGGGGAAGGAAGCCTGCTGTGACAGCAAGGAGAACAGTCTAGCTACGCGCATAACCATGTTTTCAAAATTAATCCCATTGTCTGTGTTAGCAAAATAGTCAGAATTGCAAGCCAGAGTATACGTCACATTCATTCTAGTGTCACCTTGTGCAAACTTTGTCAATTATCATCTTAGCACACATACTATTTCAGCCAAAATTTTGGGATAAAAGGCCATTCACAAATAATTTGCTTACACCCAGGGTCTTCAAACTTGGCAAATTTAAGACTTGTGGGCTTCAACTCCCAGAATTCCTGAGCTAACATGACTGGGGGAGGAATTCTGGGAGTTGAAGTCCACAAGTCTTAAAGCTGTCAAGTTTGAAGACCCCTGGTTTACACATTATCTGGTATTTCCATCAATACAATTGTGAAGACTGCTATTACTGAAGAGCTGACTCTGGGATTAATCACAGCAAGGTTATTCTTAACCATTATGGGGTTCCACAGGAGGTCTTAACACTTGTGATCCAGTGTCCCCCAGTATGTGTTGATTTGGTTGCAAATCCAGGGCTTTCTATTCCTCTGTTTTCCTCTCAATGCATGTTTTATTTTTTTCTACTTCCTTCCCAATAAAAACCGGAGCATTCAATTCTGTTTTTCAGCTGCAATGTTAATAGCACAACCAGAAATATTCCTGGATTTCATACTAAATGTAGGACTATAGTCTAAAATGGTTGGTTTACTCAAGAGGAAGCAACACAATTCGACATTTTCTTCTCCTTCAGTATTCTACTGTAGTATCGATCCATACAATCTAGTTTCTGGTTGCTAACCAGCACCCTGGTACTTGCCAGCCACGCTGGGCCATTTTGGAGGCAGCAGCAACAGCTGGCAGAGCACAGCTGCCAGGATCAAGAGCCACCCTTTTTCACGGGCGGTAAGTCAGGGCCAAAACAAAGACTACTATATATTTGGTTTAGTTTAATTTAAATGAACTTAAATCTGTTCCATTCACATGATTACTCCCTACATATTAAGCAAGTTTCCCTATCAGTCACATGAACAATCTTAAATTTAGTAATTGGCAATGTTTGGAAGAGTGGTGTGTGTTGCATCCAAGGGTTGAGGGGGGGAGGGAGAACAATCTCTTGAGTTCCAAGGCTAACACGAATTTATCAGAGAGGGAAATCTTAGTGTTATAATCTAAACATGGGCTCTGGTTTCTTGCTATACTAATCAGACCAGCGTTGTAAATCAACCCCAGATCAGAATTTGCAGAGACAAACCAAGAGATAGGACGATGGTCATGAAGCTTAATCAGGACTCAGCAACCTTTCGATGAGATGGATCTAATCACTCGTGATAGCAGGGACCACACACACACACACACACACACACAAAGAGGTGGGTTTTGGCATTGTCACCTGAACTCTCCAGGAAATCTTACGAAATCCTGCTAGATTTGGCCATTGCAATTGCAATGTTCTAAGGGCCGTTAAAGAGTTTTGCGAGCACCAACAAGGCGTGCCCCAGGCCAGAGGGTATCCATGAGAGCTTGTTGCCGGGTTCCTGAAAAGCCACGTTGGTTGAGAAGTTAGGAAAGTTGAAGTCCAACACATTCACAAGCCCGGATTGAAAAATGCTACTTCCTGTTCCAGTCATGTCTGGGTATGTTGACCCAATCGGGCTAGCAAGAGGATCTCCAAGCAACATGAAACACGCTGCTTTTTTTTTTCTGATCAAATGGCACCATCAGCAATTCCAGGTTCGCATTTTCAGTGAGAATGCAACTGTGGCATATGCCAACTACACCAACCAAAGGAAAAACAAAAACAAACAGCATAATAGTGACATTTCGCTTCAGAGCTGAATGTCAAAAAACCTTCACAGTGCTTTTAATCCCAAAGATTCTTTCTTCATCTCCTCCTTGCCTTGAAGATATTTTTTTATTACTATTTTGTAAAAAGCTACTGGGAGTCAAATCGCCTATGCAATAGTCTTTTGTTTCATCACTTCTTTGTGGCATGACAATATTTCTCCCGTGCTCTCTTTGGAGTAAAAAAGAAAAAAAGAAGAAGAAAGAATCACCCACCCCATTGCTAGGAAATACTGAGAAGAATTTTTTGTCTTAAAATACACCTGGGTCCCATTCTGAAAAATAAAAAATTAATATTTTTCAGGTTGACTGACTTGGAGTGCATTGATAACGCCGTTGATATTTTCTTCTGGAACCTGTAAGGCAAAAAAACAAACAAAAAAACAAACAAAAATAAGGGTTGGTAGTTGGATAGCAATAACATTTAGGCTTATATACTGCCCCACTGTGCTTTTCAGCATTCTCTGGGTGGTTTACAATGTAAGCATTTGCCTATTGTCCCCAACAATCTGGGTCCTCATTTTACCAACCTTGGAAGGATGGAAGGCTGAGGCTGTCAGGATTGAACTCCAGGCTGTGGGCAGAATTTGCCTGCAATATTGCACTTTAACCACTGAGCCACTAGGGATTTTTCTCCCGACCAAATTCAGCCTGTGTCTGCTGTTCTAGGTCCCTGCCAGCAGTGGGAGCTCTTAGGTTGCCCCCATGTTATAACGTACTTTGCATTTGTGAGGTACCTTCTTCCCTGCATTTTGCAAGCAGAGATAGCCACTCTGTTCTGATGGGACTGTTAGTGTGGATGATAGCTCTGGTTCACATCTTTTGGATTATATTGTATTAGGTTAAGGTTATTTTTCTATTATGCTGTAGAGCAGTACTTCTCAACTTTAGCCACCTTAAGATGAGTGGACTTCAACCTCCAGAATTCCCCAGTCATCACAGAATTCTGGGAGTTGAAGTCCACTCATCTTAAAGTGGTTAAGGTGAGAAACACAGATTTAGACTGTCAATAGATTGTCTGCAGAGGAAACAGAAAATGAAGGAACCCCAATTTTGTTGTTAGACCCAACCTCTGCTCACCTTCTCTGATCTAAAGCTCCCTTGTATTTTAACTGGAACGTGGGAAGTTAAGCACTACAGGTAGTCATCAACTTAAAACAGTTCATTTAGTGACCATTCAATTTCAATAGTGCTGAAAAAAGTGACTTATGACCATTTTTCACACTTACAACCATAGCTGCATCCCCATGATCATGTGATCAAAATTCAGATGCTTGGCAACTGACTCATATTTATGACATTTGCAGTGTCCTGGAGTCATATGACCACTTTTTGCAACCTTCTGACAAACAAAATCAATGGGGAAGCCAGATTCACTTAACAATTGTGTTACCGGCTTAACAACCACAGTGATTCACTTAACAACTGTGGCAGGAAAGGTCATAAAATGGGGCAAAATTCACTGTCTTGCTTAAGAACAGAAATTCTGGGCTCAGTTGTGGTTATAAGTCAAGGGTTACCTGTATTATGCCAATGAACCAATCTTTTGGAAATAAAGTAAGAGCAACAGATTCACACTTCTCCCATTAACATTTTACATTTTTCTTCTTCTTCCCTTTGGAAGATAAACAACTTACTTTTTATTAAGCCAAAGGAAAATGATCAAAACCAAAACTGGAATAAAGATTTGGTGTTGCACTAGCAGAAAAGTAGTGTGCATAGAGACAACAACTACCTTAGCTTTCTCCCTTGACTCAACAAATTCCCTGCCTGGAGCTTATTTATGGGTAGATGAGCATTAGTAAGGTGAGACCCTCACCTGAAGAGGTAGGGCCAGATGCAGACATTATCACATGAGTGAGAAATAGGTCAGTGTGTTAGTTTTGAGATAGGAGTGGATGGGCTTATCTCACTGCTATGGTTAATGTTCAAGGAAAGTAAACCCAACGGATCTAATCATTTGACCTTCGCTATCTGAGATCATGTTGACTTTCTGCTCTTAAATACACACCGAGGCTTCCAAGTTGGAAAAAGAAGGTGATGCTAATAGTAAAGAGACAGGAAAAAAGGAGAAGCAATTTTGACTTTTCTCTTAATGGGTTAAAGGTCAGGTGGTGGAAAGGAGCTTAATGCCTTGTTAACAGGAAAAATAATGGGACACCCCCATGAGAATTGGAAGTGGGGTTGGTGAGGGCAGAAATACACAATACCTGGCTTGAAAATCCAGATAGTCCAGACGTGGTGTCAAATAGAAGAGAAAAACTGTTGAGAATTTCTGTAATTCTCAACATCTTCCCATAATGATCAGGTAAAGAATGATAAGCAAATGGATTTTGGCATTGGAACTTGTTGGAAGTTTATTTGCACACCACAGTTGTGAGACTTTTACTGGATGAATGTGTGGTAGGCAAAATTTGGTTTCAGTTGGTTCTTCCCTGAAGGGAAAATATTTTATATTTCCTTTTTAAAGTTTATAGCATGGTGGAGGGTGATTCTAGGAGGTATTGGAGAAGAAACCAGTATTCTTAAACAGCCCCCAGGTTTTTCAGATGTTCTTGGCTTTTTAATAAGGAAACAGGAATAAAATTCCCATAACCAGCTTGTGTACTTTTCAAAAATAAATCCAAACTTTTCTAATGTTTGTTTGGAGGGGGAGATTGCATTTAAAAAAAAAGAAAATGGCAAATCAATACACTATGAAAAGTCATTCCTACTGACAAGGACAATTTGAAAGGTTTCAAACCTTCAGCCAAACACTTAAGGCAGGAGGGAATTTCATTCGGCAGATTTCCTCTATAAGCCCCATACAAATAAGCAACACAATGTCCTTCAGAATCTCGTTCTTTTTATAGGGAAGATTAAGGAAATGCCTGAGGCTTAGCTGGGAAAAACATGTTTCCAACATCTCCAGGTAAAATTACTTTTGAATCTAGGGATAGCTACTTACTGGTCAGGCAAATAAACTTTCTCCAAGTCGGAGTTCTCCTGAGGTGTTGGCTAAGCCTGTCAGGAGATTCGCAACAGATGAGAAAGGCAAGCGACAAGAATGAGAGTAGTGTAGACATTATTCATCTCAATCAACTCACCAGTGCATGATCAAACTTAAATGTACTGATGTAATAGGCAGGGATATCTGCGGCAGCTAAAGGCTCAGAGATCTGAGCCACGATTCCACACTCATCTGAGGAGAAGAAAAAATTACGACTTCACAATGGCAAAAAGAGTTCGGCTGTAGTTTTCTGAGTCCCAATAACATCCAAATTAATTTACAGCAACATTCTGCATAGAATGGCCTATTCACATTGAAAAGAAACCCCTGCTTAGTTTATGAATCAGAAACCCCTTGAAGCATTCTTGCTTCAACAACTTGATTTCAACAACTCTCCCTTATCTCCTAGACTAAGGGTTGCCAACCCTTGGTCCGTGGACTGGTGCCTGAAACCGGTCAGCACAAACATGTAAAGCCCCATTTGCGGGACTGAGGCAGCATATGCGAAACCATGCCCCCTCCGGTCAGTGGAAAAACCTCCCTCCACGGAACTGGTCCTTGGTGCCTCAAAGGTTGGGGGGGCTGCTGTCCTAGACCTTATGAAATTTCAAAGCTCATAGTGTCTATAGCAGACATATCTGTCAGGCAAAACTAGTGAAATATTGCCAGACTGGATCCATGCTTCCCCCCCCCAAAAAAAAAATTAACTTCAGAGCTTCACAAAGGGCTACTTGTAGGTCCTGCATTGTTAGTAAACTGTAAATTACATTTTAAAACAGAAGCATGCATTTGTTTCAATCTGCATGGGCTATCAGACCACATTTCCATGTGTACTAAAGAGGATGCCAAATATAACAAAGAGATATAAACAGTGACATGTGTTTTATCATTTCTACCAGACCATTATTAATTTAATGGCAGGATGGACAGTTGCCTTTTGCCTATCTATGGTAGCAATTCTTTTTGGTCCCTCTGGGGTATGCTGGAAAAAAATAAAATGGTGGACAGCAGCTTGCCTGTTCCATAAAAATGAAATGATGGAAGACACTAAGAAGTGGCTGCTAAAATCAGCTGTAGCAGAAGACAGAAAGAGCTGTTCTTCCTTGCCTGTTTTTTTAAAGAAACTATAGCTCTTCAAGGCAATAAGGATAAGAGGTGAATAATACATTCCAAGAGATATTTAGTTTAGTCCTACTTATCATGTGGACACAGATATATGTAAGGTGATTTAGCTGGGGGAGGAGGGTGCATAGTTCTGGCACTATTTTTAGAGTGATAATTAGGATTTAAATCTTTAGAACTTGTTTGTTTGCTGATTTTGCAACAAAGCAAAGCCAATCCTTCTGCATTTCGTGCCTCAGTCAGGAGCGTTCCAGATATTCTGGCCCAGATCTTTTACAAGCCTACCTCTCAGAGAGCAAGGACTATGGGAACTGCAGTCCAAAATGCTAGAAAATAGTGGGCTAAAAATGAAGCATGGATGGATGTGACTCAGTTAACTGATATATGCTATTTCTGTCTCCACTTTTCCCCAAGGTATTATAGATGTACTGAAGCTACAATTCTCTATATTCAGAGCATCTATCAGTGGCTGGATTATTTTGCTGACTTTCTCTATGGAGAACGATCACGAGCAATAGCAAAAACTTGGAAGCCTCATTAATACTAATACTTCCATGTTAGAAGTACTGATGTGCTTCCATGAGGAAAGAATTTGCCGGTGACATCACTGTTGCCTAGGGGAAGCCCAATTGGGGTGGGTGGGTCTCCTTTCATGTCCCCTCAAAGTTGCCCACTGAAGTGATACCCATTAATTTATTTGCATGCTTTCAAACCGCTGGGTCAGTGGGAGCTGGAGCATGTGGCAAGAGCTCACCCTGTCCTGCAGCAGCAATGGGTCCCGAACACAAGGCTGCCAATTATCAGCCCAGCATTCTAACCTTGTGAGCCACTGTTCTCCTTTGGAAAGCCTGATTATCATCGCACTAATGGCTAATTGACTTTGGTACTCTCACATAGGCCTTCTCCTCCCCTTTGCTGAAGGAAGTCTCAGATTTATAAGACTTTCCTCCCTTCCCAGCTTCATCGAAACAAAGGCAGCCAGGTATATTAGAAGAGATTGCAGAGATTGTAGCAGTGACGACATCACTGCCTAAAAATTCTCACTTTCCTGTAACCGACCCTGTAAGTTGGCTTGCAAGAAGAATTAATGGTTGCTGTCGTGTAAAACTGATGGGCCAAATCTGCCTTTTTTTTCTTTCTGTCTCTGAAAAAGGGATGTTTTAAGAAGGTCATTCCTTCCTTGCTCTGAGTTGTCCTTCTCATACTGGCATTTCCTTGGCCTCAGAGCATTTTGGGAGCACAGGGGAGAGCAGTTAAACAAGCCTATAAACAACCATGTAGGCTACAAAGTACGTAATCTTTATTGCAAGGAGAAGGCAAGGAAGGGCTGAGAGAATAGGGGAATCCTGCAGAGTTAATAATGTGGGATTTAATACTGTTAAAAATCCCTCTGAGGCAAAATAACAGAGGAAGTTGAGATGCAGAATAAAACTTTAGATAATAGGGAGCAGGCTGCAATCAGGGCCAGCCCTATCATTAGACAGAATGAGGTGACTGCCTTAAGCAGCAGACACCAAAATAGGATTCAATGTATTTATTCAGACATCCTCAGCATACGGAACTGTATTATGATATATCTTAACCTTTTGCCCAGACACCAAAAATGTCTTTGACTGGGCCTGGTTGCAAGGGTCCATGACAGGGGTGTCAAACTTGATTTCATTGAGGGACACATCAGGGTTGTGTTTGACCTTGGGGGCCCGGGGTGGAGAGGCCAGGGTAGGCATGGCCAGCTCGACGTCACTCCTGTCGGGGACGCCTGGGGTGGCCCGAACACTCTGCCAGCAAAAACGGACTCCCGAGCTCCATTTTCACTGGCAGAGGGTTGCAGGAGGCCGTGGCAGCCGAAAATGGAGCTCGGGAGCCCGTTTTCACTGGCAGAAGCACCGTGGTCCAGTCCTTCGCTGTTTCCAGGGCGGCCCCGTGGGCCAGATCTAAGTGGCCCCTGGGCCTTGAGTTTGACACCCCTGCTCTATGTAATCACTGTATTCAACTGAGCTGGCACAAAATCTAATTTAAATAGTGCCCCTCTAGAGCACCATTCAAAGATCAGTGTGGCTCTTGGCCACTTAATTCTAATACAGACAATACTCAGATCCCAAAGAGATCTGGATTCAATCATCCTTTGGCCATGAAGCTTTCTGAGTCACCTTGGAACAGCTACTTTCCTATTTGCAATGATTTGGTAATAGAACTGCCAATCAAAACATGTTAACACACAGTACCTCCCCCCCCAATGTATATTTTTGGGGAAGAATTAAGGGGAGAGAGATTTGTGTGGATTAGAAGGAAGGTCAGATTCTGAGCCTAAGAAAACGTTCATCTAAGTGACATTAGATAGGTTGCAACTCTTAAAATCATTTAATGAAGTTAATGTTTAAAGAGGGATCCAATTAACCAAATGACTGTGCAATTTTATACTTTTCCCAAGTTCTGCCTTCTCAAGTTACCAGAGATTGGAAATATGGAGAAAAAAGAACTTCCAAAGAAGGGAAGGGCTTGATGATAACATCAAAACTGTTAAAACTTTTGTGTCTGTTTATTTGTTTGTAACCTTCAACTAAGTGAAATGAAGCATTCATAGGGCAACCATTTTTGAATCAATATATCTCAAATGTTTTCACTTACAGAATGCATCAAAAATCCAGGAGCCATGACTCATGTGGGACTGAAATTTGCAAAGTTTATCATTTCTAATGCTCCCTACCAGCTTCCAACAAGGAAGATTAATGGGGAAACCGGCAGGATGTTGGAAATTACTCCTGTTCCCACTGATTTTTATCTGCCTGTCACTTATGACTGTGTTGCTTAGCAATGGTCCAATTATTGTCATTAACCAAGGACTACCTGTAATACTTTCAGAATAATGATTCCTTAACATCAGCTTGGAGGAGCATTTAGCAACAAGGGCAGTCTTCAGATAATCTTCTCAGAGGGATGCACTTTTTGATATTATTGGATGGATTTCAGCAATATTAAGTTAAACCCCCCCCCCAACAACCACAAAAGGAGCAGAGGGGTTTCTTCTGATCCAGATGGGGCAACAGAGAAAGGCAGAGAAAGCCAGCAGCCAATCAGTATGACGTAACATACCAAAGCCGAGAGGTTGCCCTCCAATGCGAACCATCTTCCAGAGTTCTCCTGATGCGCTTGTAAACAACAGATTATTAGGAAATCTAAACAGAGAGAGACAGAGAAAATAGCAGAAAAAAGAAAGAAGTGTCAAAACAATACACACACACACACACACACACACACACACACACACACAATCAATTCTGAATCAATAATTCAATGGTGGCTGAGGGATATCTACACACACCTATCTCTCTCTATTTATCATCTATCTGTCTATTACCTATCAATCAATCATTCATCTATTTATATTGATCTCTATCATCTATTAATCTCTCTATCATCTATCAATCTATCAATCTATCTATCTATCTATCTATCTATCTATCTATCTATCTATCTATCTATCTATCTATCTATC